CCATAAGAGACTCTTAACTACAGGAAACAAACTGAGGGTTTCTGGAGGGGAGGGGGGTGGGAGGATGGGGTAACTGGGTGTTGGGCATTAAGGAGGGCACTTGATGTTATGAGCACTGGGTGTTATATGCAACTGAGGAATCACTAAATTCTACACTCTGATACTAATAATACACTACGTGTTAATTAAATTGAATTTAAATTTAAAAAAAGACTACCATAACAGAATGGAAATTTTTATTTTACAAATGAAAAAGCAAAATACGGTTATTAAATTGACCCTGAAGTCACACTCTAAATTCATACCTTACAGTTCAGTTTTCCCAGTTCATCAATTAATTCCACAAAACAGACTAAACCTCTGTCTGTGGAAGAAGCACAGACCATATTTAACCATGATAACAGAGATGGCTGGCAAGGTTAAGCAAAGGAAGTGATTGTAGCTCCTGCTCGAATTCTTTGTCTTCTTGAAAACATTCTCCATGGTCAGGTGAGACTTAAACTGTGACTGTCCTGGCCAGAGAAGAAGGTTAAAGCTGTGTCATAATTACAGACTACTCTTCTACCTTCATCTTGTGATATCCATGTCTCTCAGAGAGGTCTGGCTAAACCAGAATATTCTTTGCAATAGCATTCAAAGTCCTTACTTGTGCCACATCTGTTACCTTTTGAGAATATTCTGAGCTAGATAGGGAGGCTCCCATGGCAACAGAGAAATTTCTGCAACAGAAATAATAAAAAGACAGATTATTATATAAGTTGTTAAATGAGCCCTCCTACTGGCCCTTCATTTTATAGACTATTTAATGGTTCAAGAACACAGGTAGGTAAAGGACCCTGGATTCCCATATTTCATAATTTTTATTAATTACTTGAAACATCTAGCCAAATATACCTGACAATATACTTGATTTTATATCTAGAAATTAGTTCTAAGGATCTTGCTTCTTTTACATCTCATTTTTCCCAATTCTAAACTGAAATAATAAACTACTATTAAATTGTAGGATTCTTCTAAAGTATAATAAACACTCAATAGTTTCAATTTCTTAATGGTGGTAAAATTTCAAAATAACTAAAAATAGCAAAGGTGAGAGAAGACTAAGTATTAAAGGTAGGAGGGATAAAAATGACTATATACCATAATTATTAACTCTGCTAAAGGAAATCACAGTTGAACGGGCATACATACATATCTGACTCATTTGAAGCTTAGCCGCTGAATTAGGGTTTATTATTAAGTGGTCTAAGTTCAGCAATGACTTAAAAATATAAAGTTCACCTACATTCAGAAGAGCCTGCTTATGTGAGGCAGGATAAAACCATTTTGCAGTTGAAAAACTGCAAAAATGACTGCAATACTTACATATTAATCACAACATTCCATTCATTAATCAAGCCATCAACTAAGGTTTTCCTCTAACAGGATGTAAAGATTAATCTGTCCCTTCTTGTATGAATCAAAGAATACATTTTTACCGAAATTTCATTCCTGAATCTCTAGCAGACCGAGCAGAACAGTGAAATTCTGTAGCACCAGAACCCTCAAGGATCCTTTGTAGATTTCTGTCTGTTATGCCACCCCCTGTTGGAAGAATAAGTAATACATTAAGTAGAATAGAATTTTGTATAAAATTTAATGAATACTAGTGACTGCTTGCTCTACCTGAAATTCCCATACCAAAATTTCTCATTGACTCAAGAGTTACTCTCTCCCTACTAAGCTAGAATGAGATTAGAAAGAAATGATAAAAGACATAGGCTACAGGCTCTAGAGAACAACTAATAAGGTTATAGAACCCGTATGATGGAATCTTATATGTCCATTGGTTTATATAACAATACCATATGATACTGACTTTAAAAAGATTGCTCTAGGGCAAGGAAAAACCACTGAGTGCTCTATCCCTGCTCTCCCTCAATTTAAGCAAAATTAAATTAAAACAAAAAGTAAGGATACGTTTGAGGATGAAGCTACAAAAGCACAGCCTGAGAGATGTCTGAAAAACACAAGTACTCTCGCTAACCCAGGATTCAGAGAGCACACTGACTTCAATGGAAATGGGAGTAATGCAAGGCATTACACAGTTTATTCATTACAATATCAACTTTGCTTTTCACAGAAGAATCTGATTCTACTTTAGTAAAACTGCACAATCAAGTACTTTATAATGACTCATTTGTTTTGCTGAACAATCTCTTAATTAAATATTTGTATATAAACAATCATATTCTGAACTGATACCAGATTAAAAATATAAAATTACTCTTTATATCCTTCTTTCCTAATATATAGGATGTATTCAATAAAGATTTTTTAATGACTGATAAAATCTGTACTTGGTATTTCAAACTATTCAAGTTGCTGAAGTAACTTGACTTTACAAACTCTTTTGGACTCATTAACTTGTTTGTTTTCTTTTTTCTTAATGGTACAGTAATATCACTGTGCCCTAAGAAGCTGAAAGAACAAAGACCTTTTTTAGACATGTGTAAAGATAAAATGTCATGATGCTTTTCACTTTAAAATACCTAGGGTAAAAAACGATAACAAATGTGGCAAAATGTTAAATCTAGGGAATGAATATATGAGTATTCATTATGCTATCTCCTACTTTCTTATATGTTTGAGAAAATTAATACAAAAAAATTAAGATTGTCTTTATATCTGTCTCACTCTGATTCTAGATCCCCTTATTAATTCTTTAAAAATTGTTCATCTCTAGTGAGCCAGTATGTACTGAGTGGATCTTACAGTTATCATCAGGAGCATATGCTCCAATTGTTCTGGCTATAAGGAAGAATTAGGTGATCAGAGATTTTGAAGAACCAAGAGAATATTATTATATTTGTCCATAGATACTGCCTAAACATTTGCTTATACCTTGTTAAGAGCTAGGACATTTGGGCCTAACTCAGTATAGCAGTATCAAACTTGGTGTGCCTCACCAGAGATGACCATCCATATTCACAAAATTCTATACTATGGGAGAGCAAACATGGAGAAACCCCAATCCCAATCAATCTACTTCCCTATTGCTACTCTCTGAGCTAATTCCTGCTAGAATGTTCTCCTTATCTGAAGTTTTAAAATTCCAGCACAGATCTCCCAGTCTTAAATTTTTAATCAAATTACATATTTTTCTCTCTGAATACCATGTATTAATATTTTCTCCCATATTGTCCTGCCTCCTTTGTTCTTCCTCCACTGCACCTCAGTGTTATACTAACAAATGGACAGATAATTAAATACCTGGCATTACCACAATCCTCCCTTTTGCCTGAAAAAAGAAAAAAAACAAATTTTAATATCTTTCTCTCAAACGGGGTAATAAGGCAGTGAGAACAGAAGCATTAGTGAGAGTATATTAAAATTTTAAAACTAGTAGTAGTGTCTAACTTTCAATAGTCATCTCTATTTCTTTGGGATCTTGGGTAAGAAAGATGTTTAGCATAGTAACTCTTTCTATACAGAAAGGTTATTTTATTGTATTGCTTTGAAGACTTGTACTGTAATGAACACAAAGAATAGGGGACTACACTATAAATACTGAACAATTGCATCACCTTAAGAGAAGCCATTACTGAAAAATAACACTAATTTTGAGTTCTTGCTTTGCAGTGGAATGGAAGTAGTTGAACAAGATTTAAACTAGATTTCAGCAAGAAAAAAAAGAGCACAGCATAATAGTAAATTACTAGGAAAAAAACAACCTACTCAAATCTTGTATCCTCAACTAAATTCCCTAGCTTATTATATTAGTTAAACAAAGCCACAAGTCTATTTAACTGGATTTTAAATAATAAAATTAGACTATATGATTAATTTCTGATAATTCTGGATGATAGGTATTGAAATTTCCTTACTTGTATTCAAATGTTCATTACATTTCGTAAATAAGTTTTGGGGATATACTCAGTATCACTGAAAGTCAAAAGGATATCACCCAAATGCAAATTTAGTGGAACTACTAGTAGTAGGTAGGTAGTGATGACAGAATAAAAATTACACATTATGCACCAACATTTTTCACAGAGCTAGAACAACCAATCCTAAAACTTGTGTGGAACCACAAAAGACCCTGAATAGCCAAAGCAATTCCAGAAAACGAAAAAACTGGAGGCATCACTATTCCAGATTTCAAACTACATTACAAAGCTGTAGTCATCGACACGATATAGTACTGGCACAAAAACAGACAGATCAGTGGAACAGAACAGAAAACCCAGAAGTGGACCCACAACTATACGGTCAACTAATCTTTGACAAAGCAGGAAAGAATATCCAGTGGAAAAAAGACAGTCTCTTCTTCAACAAATGGTGTTGGGAAAACTGGACAGCCACATGCAGAAGAATGAAACTGGACCACTTTCTTACACCATACACAAAAATAAATTCAAAACGGATGAAAGACCTAAATTTGAGATGGGAAACCATCAAAATTAACCTCTTCAACCTTGGCCGCAGCAACTTCTTACTAGACACGTCACTGGAGGCAAGGGAAACAAAAGCAAAAATGAACTATTGGGGAGTTCATCAAGGTAAAAAGCTTCTGCACAGCAAAGGAAATAATCAACAAAACTAAAAGGCAGCCTATGGAATAGGAGAAAATATTCGAAACAACATATCTGATGAAGGGTTAGTATCCAAAATCTATAAAGAACTTATCAAACTCAACACCCCAAAAACAAGGAACCCATTTAAGAAATGGGCAGAGAATATAAGAATAAACACTTTTCCAAAGACATCCAGATGGCTACCAGACACATGAAAAGATGCTCAACATCACTCATCATCAGGGAAATATAAATCAAAACCACGATGAGATACTGCCTCATACATGTCAGAATGGCTAAAATTAATAAAACAAGAAACAACAGGTGTTGGTGAGGATGTGGAGAAAGGGGAACCCTCTTGCACTGTTGGTGGGAATGTAAACTGGTGTGGACACTCTGGAGAACAGTTTGGAGGTTCCCTAAAAAGTTAAAAATAGAACTACCCTATGATCCAGCAATTACACTACTAGGTATTTACCCAAAATACAAAATACAGGATACAAAAATACAGATTTAGAGGGGTACACGCACCCCAATGTTTATAGCAGCATTATCAACAATAGCCCAACTGGAGAGAGCCCAAATGTCCGTCAACTGATGAATGGATAAAGAAGATGTAGTTTATATATACAATGTAATATTACTTAGCCGTCAAAAAAAGAAATCTTGCCATTTGCAATGACATGGATGGAGCTAGAGTATATTATGCTAAGTGAAATAAATCAGTCAGAGAAAGACAAATACCATATGACCTCACTCATATGTGGAATTTAAGAAAGAAAACAGATGAACATATGGGAAGGGGGAAAAGAAAAAAAGGAGAGAGGGAAACAAGCCATAAGGGACTCTTAACGATAGAGAACAAACTGAGGGCTGATGGAGGGAGGTAGGTGGGGGATGGGCTAGATGGGTGATGGGTATTAAAGAGCGCACTTGTGATGAGCACTGGGTATTGTATGTAAGCGATGAATCACTGAATTCTATTCCAGAAACAAATATTGCACTGTATGTTCACTAATTAAAATTTAAATTTAAAAAAATTACATATTATGTCAAGCTCACTAATTTTTAGAATGAAATCATTGAAATTGTATGGAAATTGGGTTTTCTCATGTGTGATTCTTGAGATGAGTCTTTAATACCAAATCAGCCAATTCTGCCCCTTAACACAATTCCAAGTCATCTGCCTCAACTATGCAGCTTATGCTCTCAGGGTTGGGTACATAATTTTTCTTCTACTGGGTGCTACTGAAGTATAAAAAATTCAATAAAGAACCACATATAGCTTAGTTGTTTTTCCACAGAAAAAATGAAACAATTGACTAATATGTTCAATAAATATAATTCATGTTGAAAGTACTTAGTTCTATATCATGACCAGCTAGGACAAATAAAAAAAACAAAAAGATTGGCTTAGTGAGGGGAAAATGGGGAGAAGAGAAAAAGAGGTAGCATGTCCAATGTGAGAAGACAGGCAGAAAAGGAAAGGAAAAAGAGGCTATGAGAAGACAGAAGAGAACAGAAACCAAAAGAATGGAGTAAAATAAAAATTAGCTTAACACCAGGAATAACAAATGCAAAGAAGGCAAGAGAAGCAGAAACTCTCAAAAGCAATGATAGCATAAAGACAGTAAAAAGGAAAGGTAATAAAAGTAGGGAAGATAGAGATGATCGTGAGTAGAGGGAGAAACAGCCTTTCCCATACTTTTCAGATGAGCTCTAAGTAACTAGCAGTGTAAAGTTAAGCATTCATCATGATTTTTGAGGATCTTTACGCAATAGCAACATACTCCAAAGATATATTATAAAAGTTATCTTGTGAAAAGCATTCCAAATTTTTTTAGTTAAAAAATGATATGCTGGTGCAAAAAAGGAAACAGACTGATAAATTAGTTGCATATTACAATACCTTATGGTGTAAAAAAAAAGAAAAAAAATCTCTTTTGCAGATCTGAGGCAATAGCTCATACTCTATAATGAGAAAATTAGAACCCCCAGACTAGTATTTAAGTAACAGGGACCCAGTAAAATAATCAAAAGTGACCTCAAAGTCCAACTTCTGGCACATCTGTCACTGAAAAAGCACATAATTTTTCATGACGGCTGAATTATATGTCATTTTGGAAAGGTAGCTCCAAAGTTACCAGAAAAGATTAGTTTCTTTTTCCAAAGGCAAAAATCGGTAGACTGCCATTTTGTAGATTTTTCAGAGAACTTCCTTCTGATCATTTTTTTAAACCCCGATCAAGCTGCTCTATCATGAAAGTGTTTATCAGTGTCACTTTACTCATTCATCTATCCATCCAACAAATATTTATTAAGTGCCTACCACGTTATCAAGCACTGTTCTGGGTATAGATAATATTGTGGTTGAAAGGACCCAGAATATGCCACTGTGTCATAAAAATTATTTTGAGCTGAAAGCATTTGAGTTCCTGAAATTCCTAAAAGCAGAGCCTCCCAAAAGAACTCAGAAAGAACTCAATTGTCAAAAATCCTCTCTCTGGGAGCAACTCATTAGCACCACATCCAAACAGACATTGTCATAAAACTATCCTATCTTCAATTTATTCTCATTAGGGTCCATCTATTTATCTTTCCAAAGTTTTTCCCCACCATGCCATAAATGCTCTGTCTTCTTCCTCTTCTAAATTCCTAAGTGCCCTTCTCCCCCTCTTCACCTATTAAGATGGTATATAAGACCCAAATTCTAAGCACCTCTGAGTCACATTTCTTTGTGAACTCCAATACATATACATACTTGATTAAAATCTGTTTTTCCCCTCACTAATCTGTATTTCGTCAGTTTACTTCAGAGGCCCTCAAACACAAAACCTAAGAAGGCAGAGAAAGTCTTTCCTCCCTGACATGGTAAACAAGAGAATATTCCTACTGACATGGAGCTTACATGTTCATGGAAGGTAGACAACAGATAGGTATATTTATATAATAAAATTTTAAGTAGCAGTATGCACAATAAAAAAACAATAAAGCAAGATAATGAAATTAGAGAGTAAAAGGAGGAAGGGGCTATCTCATAGAATTTAACAATTGTTCAGAGAAATAAGAACAAGACAGTTTAGAACTCTCAAATGTGCTAAAGCAAAGCTTCCATAATACAAAATATTACTATCTGGAATGCTGAAATGATTTTAGGAGAAAAAAAAAGTCACATTTAACTCTTTCTTCCAAGTGAAAGCTTTCCACAACATGGACAAAATTAAACTAATTCTACCATTTTTGGGTGGGGGCTGGTTTCCATAAAGATTATTGAGAACTATATGCTTACCTAAGCTGTCAAAGTGATTTAACAATATAAAGCACTTCCTAAGTATCAGACTTTGTGCTATTATCTGAGGTAATCTACAACTATTCTAGGAGGTAGGTGCTATTAATATGCTAACTTTGTAGATGAAGAAACTGAAGTTTAGAATGGTTAGGTAATTTGCCCAGAGTTACTGTTAATAAAGTGGCAAAGCCAGGATTTAAACACACCTTTCTAATCCCCAAACATATGCTTTAACCAGTATATTACACTGCTAGGTAATTGCTTCAAAAAGTAAAGTTGGCATGATCTCACTTATATGTGGAATCTAAAAAAGTCAGGGCGCCTGGGTGGCTCAGTTGGCTAAGCGACTGCCTTCGGCTCGGGTCGTGATCCTGGAGTCCTGGGATCGAGTCCCGCATCGGGCTCCCTGCTCGGCAGGGAGTCTGACCCTCTTCCCTCTTGTGCTCTCTGTCTCTCATTCTCTCTCTCTCAAATAAATAAATAAAATCTTTAAAAAATAAATAAATAAATAAATAAAAATAAAAAAGTCAAATACATAGAAACAGAGATTAGAACACTGCTATCAGGGGTGAGGAGGTGGGGAATATGGGTAGATACTGGTCAAAGAATACAAAGTTGCAATTATGCAGGATGAATAAATCTACTGATCTAATATACTACATAACTATAGTTAATAATACTGCAGTGAATACTGAAAATTTGCTAAGATAAACACACAATGAACAATAACTATATGAGGAGATGGATATGTTAATTAGCCTTACCGTAAACATTTCACTATGTATATTAATATCAATATATCTGTACACCCTAAAAACATGCAATTTTTATTTTATAAAAAAGAAGTAAAATCAGTGTATGAGGATATTTAACCCAGTGCTTCCTGCCAACCAATGATTAAACTTCAAATCACATAAGCAACAGTGATTATGAAATGCAAGACATGACTATCGCATTATATCTACCTTATTGTCTCCTCCATAGTGAGTAACAGTTTTAAAATGAAAACCTGATTCATCAACTCTTCTATTTTTTTTTTTAAGATTTTATTTATTTATTCATGAGAGCCAGAGAGAGAGAGAGAGAGAGAGAGAGAAGCAGGCTCCCAAGGGGCAGGGAGCCCGATGCGGGACTCGATCCCAGGACTCTGGGATCCTGACCTGAGCCGAAGGCAGACGCTTAACCATCTGAGCCACCCAGGCGCCCCAACTCTTCTATTTTTAAAACGCTTCAGACTTCCCCACTGCCCCAAGGATAAAATCCAAACTCTTCAACAGTTTTCAAGGCTCTGGACAGCATTCTTCTCTTTATATCCAACATTCTGGTTTCTTCAGTATCTTAGTAAGTTATGCTTACTTTTGTTTCCAGGCCTTTGTATATACTATTTCTTCTGCATGAAGCATTCACCTACTCTCCCTACCCACTTTTACATAGGTAACTTTTTTTTTATTAATATATAACGTACTATTTGTTTCAGGGATCCAGGTTTGTGGTTTATCAGTCTTAGACAATTCACAGCGCTCACCATAGCACATACCCTCCCCAACATCCATCACCCAGCCACCCCAACCCTCCCACCCCCCTCCACTCCCGCAACCCTCAGTTTGTTTCCTGAGATTAAGAGTCTCTTATGGTTTGTCTCCCTCTCTGGTTTCGTCTTGTTCCATTTTTCCCTCTCTTTCCCTATGATCCTCTGTCTTGTTTCTCAAATTCCACATATCAGTGAGATCATATGATAATTATCTCTGATTGACTTATTTCGCTTAGCATCATACCCTCTAGTTCCACCCACATCATTGTAAATGGCAAGATTTCATTTTTTGATGGCTGCATAATATTCCATTATATACATATATATCCCACATCTTCTTTATCCATTCATCTTTTGATAGACATCTGGGCTCTTTCTATAGTTTGGCTATTGTGGACATTGCTGCTATAAACATTGGGGTGCACGTGCCTCTTCGGATCATTACATTTGTATCTTTGGGGTAAATACCCAGTAGTGCAATTCCTGGGTCATAGGGTAGCTCTATTTTCAACTTTTTGAGGCACCTCCATATTGTTTTCCAGAGTGGCTACACCAGCTTGCATTCCCACCAAAAGTGTAGGAGGGCTCCCCTTTCTCCGCATCCTTGCCAACATACATAGATAACTCTTAATCATCACTCAAATGAGTAAGAGTTATCAGTGTGTGTGAGGTCTTCTTCTGGAGAGCCAACTACTACTAACCCCATTCCCAAATCTGGGGTTAATTCCTCTCAAATGTGCCCCCTTAGTAACTTTAAATTTTTTTTTATTAAGTAAACTCTATCCCCAATGTGGACTTGAACTCACAACCCCAGGATCAAGAGTCACATGCTCTACCGACTGAGCCAAGCCAGGCACCACTTAGTACCTTTTTTTATAGCACTCTATTAGAATTGCCTATTCTATTAAAAGTGCCTGTTGTACACCAAACTGTAAGGGCAGTGACTACATACATACACACACACACACACACACACACGGTGGTCATTACCATAGTACAAATGCCCTTTATCAGTAAGTTCCAGACTAGCAAAGTCACATCAGATCCTTAGATGAAATTTCTGAAAATTATTTTCACGGCTATAGGAAAGTAAACATATCAGATTTCTACACAGCAACACTAAAAAATATTAGTAACAGCAGTAATAATGATGTAGTAAGATCTATTATACATCAAGCACTGTACTAAGGCTCTTACATATCTTATCTCTACCAATCATCAGAACAACCTTATAAAGGAATTAATAAACTTATCTCAATTGCATACACAAGGGAACAGAGGCTTAATAATCTACTCAACATTACACAGCAAATAAATGTCTGAGTCTTAAATCCAGAATTCTCTCAAAGTCCATACTCACTAATTTAGAATGGTTCTGGACTAGTGTCAAAAAAACAGATATACCACAATTACAAAGTCACCTTTATAATGCTCTACAAATGATGTTAACTCATCTTGGAAATTCATACAAGAGAAAAATATATTTCCTCCTATCTTGAGAGATAGGGAAAGATGAAAGAAGAATATAATTTTGTTTTAGAATTCACTTCCAAATGATATTTCAAATTTTATATGGGATCCCCTGAGTATACATAGGCTGACAATGAGATGATGTGGCTTAAAACTATGAAATGCTGATGGCAGAGAAAAGGTAAAATTTGCTGTGGTTATCCAAGTTAGATTAAATCCTTAAGCACTGTCTATAATTTGACCTCAAGAGCCTTAACCATTAAAAACACTAATGTGAAAGAGGGGCGCTTCAGTGGCGCAGTAGGTTAAGTGTCCGACTCTTGGTTTCGGTTCAGGTTGTGATCTCAGGGTCTTGAGATCAAGCCCTGTGTTTGGCTCTGTGCTGAGTGCAGAGTCTGCTTAAGACTTTCTTTCTCTCTCCCTCTGCTCCTCCCCCCCCAAATAAATAAATAAATCATTAAAAAATAATTTTAACACTTATGTAAAAGAAATAAGAATTATATAAATATATTACTACCTGCTTGCTCTTCTGTATAGGGAACTATTAAGTCAGTAATATTTAGTTTCCTAACCTAGCTGAACAACAGACTATCAGGAGCAACCACAACAGAGTTAGAAAGAAAGGAAAGAAATTATGTATACCTGATCTATGAGTCGCTTTATTAAGGGTAGCCCTTCTAGTGCTGAACTGTCACAGCCACTGGTCAATACTCGTTCAAATCCCAAGGTTAAGAGGGTCTCTAGAGCTGCCATTGGATCATGAACCATGTCAAAGGCTGAAATAAGTAAAATTGATTTGAATTTTGTACAGATATCCTCTAATATAGTGCTTTCCAAAATGTAGTATACACAGTGGTGTGCTGGACTTAGCTCATACTGGCGAGCCAAAGCCAATTGTTAAATATTCAGGAGTTTTGCAAGCATCATTTTTAATCCAACGACAGCTTGAAATCAGTCAAGGTGGGAGAATTTAAACCACAGAAATCAACAAATACTATCTATTAGAGCTCTTTTTGTCTAAGAACTAGTTTACCAGCATACCACAGTCTGCATACCACGGTGGTATGCAGAAACATTTTAGATGGTACCCATTTGAATAGATGTATTTACTTAAACACAGATTTGAAGTGAAATGTTTCCATTTTTCACGAGTTATAAAAGTTTCTCTTTAAAAGAAATTCACTTAAGATTTTATTTAAAGAAAATTACTAAATAAATTTGCACAGGTAGCACTCAGATATGGTAAAACTGTAAATGTGATTGGCAAGTGACTCAAATTTGGAAAATTCTGTTCTAAGGCTTCAGACAAACTGGACTAACTGGAACTCAGACAAACATTACACTCACTGGTTCTAAAAAAGGCCTTGGTTCATATTCTCATTATTGACTAATATTTCATGCTATTCCATTTACCCTAAATACTTAAGGCTCATAGTATAAGGACCGTTGTTTACAATAGACTATCTAGACTTACAATTCCATTCTATTTTCTAAGAGACTTTTCTCCTCCTCAGAGAAGAAAGTGGTACTAGGAACCTCAAAAAGAAAAACTACTTCTGCTTTGGTTCTCAGCACTGCTACATAATTTGGAAGTTCTAATCTATGGTGGATTAGGTGCTTGACCCCTTTACTTTACCCGTTAGTGTAGGCAGACAGCTAAATGTACCACAGAGGCTTTTCCTTTTTTGTAGCAGATTAGCAGTTTAATCACCAGTGATTAAACTATCACTATGTCATTAAATACATGAGTGAAAAAAAATGCAGAACCCAGGACATTGCAAAATTTTGAAAACTTGAAAATATTTTTGTTAAATGTATTGAAGGAAAAGAAACTTGAAATGATTTTCTTGGTTTAAGAACAAAGAAAAATACATTCTACATGACATCTTTATTTTTTAAATTATTTAGCATGCCAAACTTTACTTTTATTTTTTTACTATTTTTTTTTGTTATGTTAGTGTTATATACAAACAATGAATCATGGAACACTACATCAAAAACAAATGATGTATTGTATGGTGACTAACAAACTTTATCTATTTTTCAGATAAGTGTTTACTAATTTAAATTACTTTTCATTATTTAAAAATTGCTTTTTGGCCACTCTCAAGGTGCTGAATTTTAAACACTCTAACATCTTTTAGTTATTGCTAGTTTACGAGAAGCATTGCTAAACAGCAAGTCAAGAGAACAGTTTTCTGGTGGTATTATTCATTTCAAAAAGAAACAAGAATAACAAATGTTGTATCTCTATTTTCTATAAATAGATGCAAATGCCAATGCCCACTAATGTTTGAATGCTTATTCAAAAGGCCAGAAAAACATTCAACAATTTCTCAAGCATATATCATCAAGTTAAAAAAAAAATGACTTAAGACTTTTTTTCTTTTCATGTATAACAGAGTGCCCTCTTCAGGCAAAACTGACACTTGTTCCTACATTTTACCAACCAAGGTTTGACAAAAGTGTACAGAAATTAGAACTACCTGATTTATAGGTAAGAGATATTTTTTACATGAAATTATCAGATACGTTTTAGAGATCATTCTGATGTAGACAATCAATAATATAGTTTTGTGCACAACAGTGAACATCTCTTCATTGACTATCTCCATCTATTCCTTCTTTCCTCCTTCCAAATAGTATCTAGAATGGTCTTGTCTGGCTTAAGCCAGGCAGTACATTTCATTTCATTGGCCACAGTGGTTTTTGGTGGTTAATATGGTCCAAGGCCATCTAATAAAAATGAATCTCAGGGGGCACCTGGCTGGTTCCGTCAGAAGAGCATGTGACTCTTGATCTTGGGGTTGTGAGTTCAAGCCCCACACTGGGTGTAGAGATTACTTAAACATAAAAAATCTTAAAAAAAAAATGAATCTCAAAATTCTTGCTTGGACAAGTGCATACACTTGTAGGCAATTCCTAACCTCTCCCTCTATTATATTCCACCACCACCACCACTTACTTTTAAAATTTTCATAACAAAGCTTCAAATTGTGCATCTCTAAATTTACAACAGTTAGTATAAAGAAAACAAGGTCAGTATAAAGAAAACAACTGGTGACACTGTAACACTCTAGTATTGTGTTCCATAAAAAGGTTATGGCATTTGGTGAAATTAGAAAACTGACACCGTTCAATAGAACTTCTAAAATGGAAATGACTCACCTCGGTGGAAAGTGACTGGTAGAGGACGGCATATAGCTATAAAAGAAAAGCCAAACAACAATATAAATGAAAATATCATCACTGATTACTATACACAGAATTTTCCATGTTATATGGGACTCTTTTATACTTTCCTCTCCTAAGAAATAAAGACAGTGAACTAAAATAATAAAATCGTAGCCTTCCAAATTCAGAATTCCTATGTTTCCATTAATCTCTGATTTTCATAACAAAAAAATGGTTGTCCACTCCTTAGCTAGACCAAATAAAAATTATGCGATCTGATTACTATAAACGCAGCATTATATCTACTACTTTAACCCCTCTGAGTATCTTTAAGAAATACTTTGGCCTAGTAATATAAGTAGTATGCTTCTGTCCTCTCCACGATCTCCCCATCCTCACCAACTACAATAGCTTTTGAAGTTTTTTCGAATCCAGGTAAACCTCCCTTAAACCTTCCAGGAACAGTAACAGAACTTGATCTACAGCAACTTCAACTTAGGAGTCAATAGGACTAGAACACGTATACCCTCTGCTCCAAACATCTAGAGAACTACTGCTTAAGATAGGTTAGTTTAAGTGCCTGCAGGTGTGACTGAAAAGCAATCAGAAAAACTTGCATTTTTCTTTCATTTTTTAAAATTTGAGGTGACACATAATGTTGTTAGTTTCAATATCAGGAGTATTAAATGCAATCATCATTAGAAGCTTTTTGGTCTCAGATACAAATTCTTACCCACAAGGGACATGCACAACTCTTTGTCAATGTTTCCATCTTCAGTCAATGCTCCAAATACCAAACCATCAGCACCATAAAGCTTGGCAAGACGAATGTCAGCCTTCATCACCTCAACTTCACGATCTGAATATAAAAAGTCACCTCCACGTGGACGAATCATCACAAAAACTGGGATCTGGACACACTGCTTCACTACTTGAAGGACACCTAAAAGAATAGAGAACAGACTAATTAAAATTCAAATGTGATGGGCACCTGGGTGGCTTAGTCGGTTAAGTGTCTGCCTTCAGATCAGGTCATGATCTCAGGGTCCTGGGCTCCAGCCCTGCATCGGGCTCCCCGCTTAGCAGGGAGCACGCTTTCCTCTCCCTCTGCAGCTCCCCCAGCTTGTGCTCTCTCTCTCTCACATACTCTCCCTCTCAAATAAATAAATAAAATCTTTTAAAAAAATAAAATAAAATTCAAATGTGAACTAACAGCTCAAGGAAGTCAATAAAATTTTTTGGCCTTTTACATTTGCTCTTGTGTATCACTTCTACAAGAAAAGGAAGCACTGACTGAGGAAACCAGAGAAATCTGGTTCTAAAGGGAATGACAACATTAATTAAAAAATGTGCATATGGGGCGCCTGGGTGGCTCAGTCGTTAAGCGTCTGCCTTTGACTCAGGTCATGACCCAGAGTCCTGGGATCATGACTCAGGTCATGGGATTGAGCCCTGCATCGGGCTCCCTGCTTGGCGGGAAGCCTTCTTCTCCCTCTTCCACTCCCCCTGCTTGTGTTCCCTCTCTCGCTGTGTCTCTATCAAATAAATAAATAAAATCTTTAAAAAAAAGTGCATATAATGGAAGTTAAGTAATAAGAGAATCATGGGTAAAAAAGAGCAATTTAAAGTAAACAGAAGGCATTTATTGCATTTTTAAAAGCACTTGTCATGTACTGCATGGAGCACTGGGTGTTATAAGAAAACAATGAATCGTGGATCACCACATCAAAAACTAATGATGTATTGTATGGTGACTAACATAATAAAATTTAAAAAGATAAAATGCAAAAAAAGAAAGCACTTGTCAGTTGACTAAAGAAAATCCTTTTGTTGGTATATGACGTTTGAAAGTATAATAACTAACAGGCTCAATATTCTGCCAGTGTATTCCATAAGACCTGATTTTTCCTTTCTGATTGATTATAGCTCTATTTAGAACTTACTATAGAGATGTTTACATAGTTCTAAAGTTTATGACCCTTTAATGAACAAAGAAACTTATCAAAACCTTTCTTGAAAGAGTTATATAAAAAAGAGCAAAGTTCTACTTGTTTGTGATTTTATGTAGAGACCTATAAACAAAAATACCTAAATGACACAATTCATCGCTAGCTCAGAAACCCTCAATAGTAAAGATCTTCCATGACTTACACTGTAATTACATCTCAATAAACCCATCTTAAGCTGAAAAAGTCCCAAGTCAAAATGCCTTTAATACACCTAACCTACTGAACATTACAGCTTAGCCTAACCTACCATAAATATGTTCAGAACATTTACATTAGTCTACAGTTAGGCAAAATCATCCAATGGAAAGCCTATTTTATAACACAGTGTTGATTATCTCATGTAATTTATTGAATACAGTATTGAAAGTGAAAAACAGAATGGTTATATGGGTACAGAATGGTTGCAAGTTTATCAGTTGTTTACTCCTGTGATCTCAAGGCTAACTGGGAGCTGTGGCTGCCCAGCATCATGAGAGTATCATACTACAAATGGCTAGCCCAGGAAAAGATCAGAATTCAAAATTCAAAGTACAACTTCTACTGAATGCATATTACTTTCGCACCATCATAAACTCAAAAAATCATAAGCCAAACCATCATGTATCAGGAACCATCTGTATAAGGTCTGTGACAAGCACGATGGATTTATTTCTTTTTCCTTGCTAAAAGAACCCCAATTTTGCATGGGATAGCAATATGCCCAATACCAAGCAATGAATCATGATTGCTGTTACAAAAAACAGATTGCACTCAAATTTAGCTATGTTCTAGAGATTTCGCAGAATGGCCAGGGAATGCCCTCCTTTAGTGAGAGATTCCAAAGAGCTATTGCATATATAAACCCTTTATACTAAATAATGCTATCATCAACCTTAGAATAATATGGAAGAGTCAAAAATTCATACAGAGACATCTGCTTTTGACCAAGACAAGAGTAACAGGGACTGGATTTGCCCTCCCACCAATAATAACCAAAAAACACACATGAATATGAAAAAAATATGAAACAATGGTTTGCAAGAGATTGTGTGTCAAGCAACAAAAAACAATGATGCCTGAAAGATGGAAAACAAATGAAGTCAGCTCTATAATTGACCCATATTACTACCTTGAGGGTTTTCTAGGCTGCAGCAAAGAAAGGGGAACCGAGGTAGAGGCCAGAGAATTCTGAGTTAAAGAGACAAAGCTGAGAGTCCAGGGAGACCAAGTGACTACAGTTCCCAGGAAAGAGCACCAGGGAGGAGAGAAAGAGAATTTTGGAGATTTGCAGAGAATCTCCCTCCAATATTCAGCTCAGTACTAATGAATGCATATATGCAAGGAAACTGTACAAGGCCAGAGAAAAATCCACTGAAAAGATTTAGAAAGAAACAATGCCTTTCATTCACACCTGTCAGGCCAAAAATAATGCCTATTCCCAACAGGCAGATAGGAAAATTTGAAGATTCATGGGGCAGTGGGTAGAGTACACAGAGGGGTCTTGGTTTAGTAATGGGAATAATTAACTCCAGACTGACCACTGTTCCAGGCCTGCTTAACAAATTTTAAAGGCAATAGCCAAAAGGAACAAACTGTTTCCAAATAACCCAACTGCTTGAGAATATTTATAGGAATACAAACATATCCAGGGCCCAATAAAGCAAAATTCATGTCTGGCAACCAATAAGAAATTATCAGCCTGGAAAATAAGATGCATCATAAGGTGATAAATCAATCAAATGAAACCAACCTAGAACTGATATAGATGTTAGAATTAGCAGCCAAGTCATTAAAACAGCTATTATAACTTTATTCCAAATCTTCAAAACAGTTCAGAAACAATATATTAGATATAACAGACTCAAATTAAACTCCTAAAGATGAAAAGTACAATGTGTGAGATGAAAAATATACTAGGTGGGTTTAACAGCAGATTAGACATTGCAGAAAAAAGATTAGTAAACTTGAAAACAAACCAATAGAATCTATGCAAAATGAAACACAGAGAAAAAGGAGATTAATATAAAAAGAGGGGTGCCTGGGTGGCTCAGCTGGTTAAGTGTCCAACTCTTGATCTCAGCTCAGGTCTCGATCACACAGTCGTGAGTTTAAGCCCCGAGTTGGGCTCCACACTGGGCATGGAGGCTACTTAAAAAAAAAAAAAAAAGAGTAGTTCATCAGTGAGCTCTAGGACAACTTCAAGCAGCCTAAAACAAGTACAACTGACGTCCCTGAAGGAGGGGGTGGAGTACACTGAATGATGAAAATTTTCCAAATGTGATGAAACTATAAATGCATAGGTCCAAGAAACATGAAGAAAACTATAATCAGGTATACTGTTATCACATTGCTCAAAGCCAGGAGTAAAGAATTTTAAAGCAACCACAAAAGAGAGACATTACATAGAAAAAACAAAACAAAAAAAAAAACAAAGGTATGGATGATATTTCATATGAGAAATAACACCAGCAAGAAGACAGTGGAGAAACATCTTTAAAGTACTGAAAGAAGAAAAAAACCTATCAACCTAGAATTCCACACCCAGCAAAAATATCTTTCAAAAAATGGGGAAAGATGTTTTGAGACATACAAAAGCTGAAATAATTCATCCCCAGCATACTTGTACTACAAGAAAAATGTTAAAAGAATTACTTCAGACAGAAGGAAAATGAAATCAGATAGAAATACGGACCTACACAAAGGAATGAAGAACATCAGAAATAGTAACTATACATAGGTAAATACATGACTGTTTTCTTATTATTTTAATCTCTTTAAGAGATAATGGATTCTTCTTTTTTGGAAGATTTATTTATTTGAGAGGGAGAGTGTGCGAGAACACTACTGGGGGGGAGGGGCAGAGGGAGAGGGAGAGAACCTCAAGCCGACTCCCTTCTGAGTGCAGAGCCCAACATGGGGCTCAATCTCACAACCTTAAGATCATGACCTGAGCCAAAATCAAGAGTCGGGATGCTCAACCAACTGAGCCACCCAGGTGTCCCTAACTGACTCTTTAAACAAAAATAATACTGGGTGTTATATGCAAATAATGAATCCTGGAACACTACACCAAAAACTAATGAAGTACTGTATGGTGACTAACATAATAAAGAATAATGTAGTGTGGAGTGTATGTATTTTTAACACATACAGAAGTAAAATGTATGACAACAGCCCAAAGACCAGGATGGGAGAAATGAAGACAAAAGTCAATATGCTGAAGATGCCAGGATGGAAAGATAAAACCCTGACTGTTGATACTACTGCAGAGCAACTGAACCAATGTTAACAGTAACTATCTATCTCTCAACTTTTTGATGTATAAGGATCTCATCTTTGATAGACAGGTTTATTTACAACCATAAGCACCTCTAACTAATTCAATATCCACAGCATTGTGAACATATCAGTAACATTAGTAAAGGATCTCAATGAAACATATTTTCTATTGTCTCCAGGCTTTATAAACTCCAACCAGAAAATAGGGAAAACACTTACCCATGCTGGGTGTGGTTCCTCCTTCCAATAAGCCAGAACATAATTCAATCCGGCCAGCACCTATGTGAAAAAAAAAAGCATTGCTCAATACAATAAACTTTTAAAAATTAAGAAAAATTTTAAGAAGCATTTCTCAAAAATTATCATCCAAAATAAACATTTATGAAACAGTAAACAACATTTTTTTCAAACATAGAGCAAAGTGTCTTAGAAACTGAGAGATTATAAAACTAGAGTAAAACTCTATTGTTAATCCCAACTATATTCTGCAACCCACATTGTGTTACTGATAGTCAAATTTAAGAGTTAACTCAAGTTAAGCTAGGTCTCTTGAAATTTTGTATTACAGGGTTGCCTCTCCATGTACAAGGAGGTGACTCAGAATAAATATGGTCTGGGTTGACCACAGTGGAACAATGACTCTTCACTGATAACAATCTTTTCCAAGAGTCTTATTATTATTCTAAGATTTATAAAACTACAAGGTGATTTTAAGTAGCTTAAATCAAGGTAATTTCAAGAATAAGAGAATGCTGAAAGGAGATTAACTATCAGACTACAGGGTCATGTCAAAAGAGTCTCAGGATCCAGGTTGAAGAGGCTAGTACCAGCCAAACATGGGACACTTTGAGAATCAGTAAGAAGAAAAACTATAGTGGAGTAAAACACATCAAATATGTCTAAATCTAGATTCATAATGATAAAACAATTCACTGGGGGATAGAGAATAAACTCATTATCCTAAAATCAGTAAACAGGGGAAAAGGAGCAAGCATTTATCCTGCCTTTCTTATAGTAACTGAACCTCAATATAAACAAACAGTTGTTGAGGGAAAGTTCTTTATAGACGAAGCATACTGATAATAAGTGAAAAGTAAATGTTTGACGTAATATAGTATGATATTTCAAAACCTACTAAAAGATGCACTGCTAAAATTATTAGGTAAAAAGATGAAAGGAAAGCTTATAAAGGATGGATCATGCTGACAATATGACCTATAAATTAAAAATGTTTTTAAAAAAAATAAAAATCTGTATTGATATATAATTCACATACCATACAATTCACCCATTTAAAGTGTGCAATTCAATATTTTTAAGTATACTTAGTGTTTTGCAGCCATCACAATTAATTTTAGAACATTTTCCTCACCCCAAAAAGAAACCTTATACCCTTTAGCCCATGCCCTTCAACTCTAGGCAACCACTAATCTACTTTCTGTCTCTAAAATTTGCCTAATGGGACATTTTGTATAGGTGGAATCATATAGCATGTGGTATTTTGTGACTGTTTTCTTCCACTTAGAATAAATTTCAAGATTCATCTATGTTGTAGCATGTATCAGCACTTCACTCTTTTTTATTGCCAAATTAAGAACCGTTTTTACATCTTCAGAGGATCATTTTAAAAATACAAAGAATATTCCATGAAGACCAAATGTTGCCAGTAAAACTGAAAATATATACCACGTGGCTCTTTTTTTTAAGATTTATTTATTTATTTATTTATTTATTTATTTATTTATTTATTTATTTAAGAGAGCGCAGGCACGCATGCATGAGAGCAGGGGATGGATGGATGGATGGGTGGATCGATCTATCTATCTATCTATCTATCTATCTATCATCTATCTATTTATTTGAGAGAGCACAAGCACGCATGCATGAGAGCAGGGGAAGGAGCAGAGGGACAGGGAGAAAATCTCAAGCAGACTCCTTGATCCCCCGACGTTGAGATCATGACCTGAGCTGAAATCAAGAGCCAGATGCTTAACCAACTGAGCCACGCAGGCACCCCTATTCTATGTTGCTCTTTATAAAAAGTGTCCTGATTCCCGGATATAGTGGAAATATTGGCCACGTGCTGAAACTAGTAGACACTGAGTGATGGGTATATGGGGATTCATTATACTGTTTTACTTTTATATATGTTTGATATTTCCCATAATAAAAAGTTTTTAAAAATTTCTGATCCTGAGATGATGGGAATTGCTATGCTTCCCCATTAAAGCAGGTTCAGAATGCAAAACAAACCTTGAGGTAAAAATAGATAATGCTAAAAAAAAAAAAAAAGATAATGGGGGTACCTGGCTGGCTCAGTCAGTTAAGTGTCTGCCTTCAGCTCAGGTCATGATTTCAGGGTCCTGGGATCAAGCCCCGTGTCTGGCTCCCTGCTCAGCAGGGGGCCTACTTCTCCCTCTACCTCTGCCTCTCCACCCACTTGTGCTCTCTCTTTTGCTCTCAAATAAAATCTTTTTTAAAAGAAAGATAATGATAAAAGTCTTGATGATGAAAATGGCAGCAAAACTCTTAAATCATCTTTAAGTCAACAGTTTGAAAAAAATGAAGTCTTTGCTAAGTTCAGCTAAAAAAAAAATGAAGTTGGTGAGTAAGCACTATTGTGGACACTTGACTCAAAATGTGATCTATTGGAGGAGTAAGATTAGAAGATGATAAAGATGATAATTTTCCAGTACGTTTTCCAATTGGTTGGCTGTTTTCAAAAAGATTACTAGGATCCTTACTAGGATCACAAGGGCTCCCAAGATCAGTTCATAGGATTCCTTTTCAGACTTTTTTTTTAGAGAGAGAAAGAGAAGGCGGAGGGAGGGGCAGAAGGAGAGGGAGAGAGAATCCCAAGCAGGCTCCACACCCAGCGCTGAGTCTGATCTGGGGCTCAATTTTACAACCCTGAGATCATGACCTGAGCCGAAATCATGAGTTGGATGCTTAACCAACTGAGCCACCCAGGCACCCTCATTTTTCAGACTTTTAGAAGGACTGCCAACTGTTATTCATTCTCTTTTGTCTTACCTCCTCGTTCTGCATTTACAGCTGACTCTACTGAATCAACACACACTTCCATGAGAAATCCATTCGTCATTCCTAAAATACATGGAAAACAGTGCAATTTCATGATGATACTATCCATCCAGACCAATCTACCACCATTTTATTTTGCTGCCCAAAACCAATGTCCAATAATAGGCAAGTAGGTAAATATACCATGAATGCAATAAAATACCATACTGATTATTAAATTGATGTCTTTGAACTGTGAAATAAGTATACAGACATATGTATAAGAAATTATACTGAAGAAAATATACACTGAATGCCAAATTAATCTTCCTAAAACACAGCCCTCATCATCAAATTCTAAATCAGATTTTTTCAATGTTTCTCAATGTTTTCAGAATATGTTTAAATGTCTTTATAAAGATCATATGTTTAAGAACAAGGATGGACTTCAAATCTTGACCCCACTATTTATTTGTGTGATCCTAGACAAGTTACTTAACCTAAGTTTTCTATAAAACAGAGTAGGCTTTAGTACCTACCTCAGAGTAGTGAGGACCAAATAATTCATGTAAAGTGGAGAGTACCCACCATGTGTACAAAAAGTTATCATTAATAAACTACATATTATTTCTTCTATACATCTCCAGTTCCACTCAATTCTCATCTCTGCTCTTGCTTATGCCATCTCCTCAACCCACAAAGTCCTGCCAGCTCCATCTTTGAATGGTAAAATCTTCCAAGGCTCACATTAAATCACATTTCCATATCTGTTCTCTCCCAAAGTAGGGATCTCCCTCTTTGGAACTCATGTAACTCTTCATAAATTATATGTTCCTCTTTAAAACACTAATTGATATCTTTTAAAAATACTAATTACTTTCTACCTTTTATTATTATGTATGTAGATAGATGTCTGTTCACTTTTACTTGACCTAAAGTTCCTAAGTAAGGTCTTTATGTGAGAAACCTTTATCATCACCCACAGCAAGCACAGTGTCTACCTTGGTACAGAATAGTCATGCAAAGACTTTCTAAAGGCTGAATAATTACAAATTCATAAATTTCATTCATGTATTTACACTAAAAGTGTGATGAAAATAAGTTTTGAGTTTTTCTGTAAGTTAAGCATATACGTTTGTTTTTTTGTTTGTTTGTTTTTTACAATTAAGAGTATTAAATGTTTACTTCATGCAATACCTGAAAGAATCACCACATGCTGATAATGGTGACTACTGGGTGGTAAGATTTGGAATTACTTTTACTTTCCTCTTTTTACCTTTTTTTTTTTTTTTTTTTTAAAGTAGTCTCCACTTAAAAAAGCCCAGCGTGGAGCCCAGTGTGGAGCCCAACCGCCAGGCTGAAATTAAGACCTGAGCTGAGATCAAGAGTCCAATGCTTAAGCAACTGAGCCGCCTAGTGGCTCCTCCCCTTTTTACTTTTCTATGTTGCTTTTTTCCTACCCCAATATTGCTTTTATCATTTTTTAAAAGGCTATTTTTAATTTGAAAAACAAACATCATCTGCTTACATCAAATTGCAACTGCCTCACTTATTTAAAAGAAGATTGTCAGTCTCAAATTGTTTAAGAGTTAAGTGCCACTCTATGTTCTTAACCAACAGCACTGCATTCATTCCAAGAGTTTCCGGAGAGCCACCCACACCAGCTGTCACATCAATCTAACTGGACAGTGCTGCTGAGGTACCATTTGTCTCACAGGAGAAAGGACCTTGGCCAGGAGAGCGTGGAGGTGCACACAGAAGGCTATGTGCCAGAAGGCAGAATAAGATAGTTGTCCAGGAAGCAAAGTTATTTGAGGAATCAAAGACATTTGTTTGGAGCAGTAGTTCTCAAAGTGCGGTAGTCCAGTTAGCTCCGGGGGCCTTTAAGACCCCCTCAGAGTCTGTGCAGTGAAAAGTATTTTGATAATAATACTAAGACTTTATTTGCCTTGTTCACTCTCTGTCTCTCACAAGTGGAGTGAATTTTCAAGCGGCTCCCTGACAGGTCAGACTGAATGCAGAAGCAGATCTAACAGTTCCATTAATCCAGATCTTAAAGAGATTTGCAAAAAATATAAAACACTGGCATTCTATTTGTTTGTTTAGGAAGACAGTTACTTTTCACACACACACAAAATGTTATTTGTGCTATCATGTAATGGGTTTCTAATTAATATTTTAAAATTTGTTTTAACTTCGAATACCGTCAACACCAATAGACTTAGCTTATATAAGTAAAAGGTCTCTGAGGTTCTCAATAACTTTTAGGAGGGGGAAAGGAGTCCTGAGATCAGAAAGCTTGGGAACCTCTGGTGCGGAGGAACCAAGAGTTCACGGGGTTGGGGTGGGGGTGGGGAAGTCGGCCAAATTCCCTATAGCACCTGCCACGCCTGGCACAGCAGCAAGCACTCGGGACTGGGGGCAGCCACAAGCGCTGGCACCGGCAGCTGCGCAGCTTTGGGGACAGTCCTCACCCCCGCCGCAGCAGCTAAAGATTACCAAGCAGTCACCAGGGGTAGGCACTGAGCTCAGCGCTGGGCATCTAACTGTCCCAGCGATGCCACTGGGTGGGGACTGGTAGCCTCGCGTGGCGAGAGGAACTTGAGGCTGAAAGAAGTTAACCAACTTGAACACGGTCGCCGCACCCTAGACGTGATGGCGCCGGGATTCGAACCCACACATCTGGTTCCAGAGCCCGGTCACTCTCGCTACAAGCCCCTTCTCAGGCCCTCAGCTTCCACACGTTTAAAGCCAGAATGACAGAACGTGCCGCGCGGGGAGCTGTGAGGAGGTGGGCAAAGTACTCTGACAGAAATCGCGACACCGCTGGCCAATACTCCCGCAGGCCCGCCCGGGACAGTCAAGTCGGACGACCGCCCCCTCCCCGCCCCCTTCCGCACCGGCTTTCCCGGACGGTATGCGCGCCCGTTTCCGCTCCGAGGAGGCCCCCTGCCTCTTCATGCTCGACGCGTTCCTCCCTCGTGCGTCTTCGGTTTCCTCCGAGTCTGGGTTCCGGCGCGCGCGACCAAGGAAGCGCGCCTCACGGCTGCGCGCACCCCTGCGCGTCCCCGACACCAAGACCCAGCAGCCCCCGCGAAAGCCGAGTCGTTGGCGCAGTCGCAGTCGCAGTCGCAGTCACTACTCCCCCTTGCCTTCTGAGAAGGAGGGGTTCACTCTGCATGACCCGGAAGTGTTTCTCTGTTCGGTGGTGGAGAAAGGAGACCAGAGAGAGCTGGGGTGTAGAGGCGGTTTCTTTGCACTGTCTTCAGTATGCAGCGATTACTCTTTCCGCCCCTGAAGGCCTTGATGGGGAGCCCGTGTCTCCGGCTCCTGGTTCCTAGGGCGGCGCCTAGAACACAGGTACTTCACCGCAGAGGACTCAGTCGCGGAATCGGACAGGGGTCGAAAGAGTCAGGAGAAGGATAATAGGTAACCCCACATCAACATTGCCGTAGTTCCTTAGATTTCACAACACATTTCTTTGTGCCCAGAGCCCCTTAGGTAGGTCTGGCAACTCATAGCTTAGTGGGAGATGGAGACAAATGAACCCGAAGTACATTATCATGTGTTAAGGGCTGAGATAGGGAAGGTAGAGTATGCTGTGGGAATGACCTGTTGCAGACCCAGGAGAATCTAGGAACATTTCCCAGAGGAGGTGACATCTGAACTGAGATCTATAGTAGATATTCTCAATCAGGGGAGAAGGAGCATCCCATTCAGCGAGAAAGAAAATAATCCATATCTGGGTGTAGAGTTAAGTCTGGGGGAATTATGCAGAGACCAGAAGGTTCATGTAGTGTGGGGATGGATTGGAGTGAGGCAAAACTAGAGGCCGGAAAACCAGTTGTGGGATGGATGCAGTAATCCAGATAGGAGATGATGATTTACTAGGGCAGAGCAGTGGAGATGTGGCCATACAGGGTACTCCACTCTAGACAGAGTGGGATTGTGTGTGAGAACAGTGGATTGAGGCCTTTCCCTCAGTCTCCAGTTGTAATTTGTCTGTCTTGTTGATCTTTAGTGTGGTTGCAGCTGTGGGATCAGGCGCCCTTTGAGGCCAGGGCAATACAGCACCATCTCTGAAGTATCTTTGCAGTCTGAAAGGGGTACAGTGTCCCTTCCCTCAAGAGCTGCTGAGCGGGTGGTGGGCCGATGGCTACTGGTCTGCAGTGGAACAGTGGCTGGAGCAGTTATTCTTGGTGGAGTGACTAGGTGAGTAATTCGCTTGTAGGGAGTCAGCTCTTTGGGTCATCAGTAGAAGCACAGGATGACCAAGGGGAAGGAGACCTTAGGAATCATCTAGTCTTGCTCCCTCATTTTATATGTGTAGAAACTGAGGCCTAAAGAGGGACACGCCTGAGGGCTTGCCTGCCGTAGAACAGTTTAGAGTTTTATTATTGGGAGCCCTTCATAAAGCCTGGTTTAGGTCTTACCTGTTTGCTGTGCATTGTCTGTATATATTTTCCCTCTACAAACAGTTTTCAAATTTGTCTCAAAAATTTTTGTACAGTTTGGATTGAATCCTCATAAATAGATCACAATTGGTTTGTATGCCTCTTAGGTCCCTTTAAATCTATAAAGAGATTTTATAGATTTAGTTTCTTCTCCCGCCCTCCCCATTCCATGTAGTTTTTTTGCTATTAAAGAAACGTAACTGATTGGTCCTATGGAGTTTCCTGGTCTGGATTTTGCTAACTGCATACTTGTGGTGTTTAACATGTCCCATTACCCACAGTATTTCCTGTAATCCGGTTTTTGCTTGATCAGATTCAGGTTGGGAGCAGGGGACAAAATACTTCACAGGTGATTACAACATTAATAAATATCTGGTGTCCATTAGAGATGCCAACAGCCATTGATGATCATTGCCTAGATCCATGATTTCATTACATTTGCAAAATTGTAATATTTTATTAGCTCAACTCTAAAGAAAAACTTGCCCTCATCAACCATTTGGTTATCGTAAGGTACAGTTTGTATAAGAAAGGCAGGATAAGTACTTGAAGCTTTCTCTTTATTGACCAGTTTTGAAAATAATAAGTTGGTTCCCAAGCATCCTCCAATTTGATCACCCAAAGGTGATCAATAAAGAGTTTGGGTTTTTAAATATTATAAGCTCATAGGTTTAAACGTATTTGATGTTTCAATCCATTGCCCTGATGATTTACTCAAATTGTTCCATCTTTAGTCAATGGGAGCCTCTTCAAATTGCCGCCTGGGTCTTTTTGACAGGATCCTAGTAACCTAGTAATTAAATTCTTTGCTTTCTGGATAAGATGTTCCAGGTTTATCTTCATTTCCTGCCTCTGACCTAAAATCAGCCTTTCACTTTAGAAACCTTCACTCCTTTTGGTGAAAATACCTTCTGGTATTAATACAGTATATGTTCCTCAGATTCTCTCCACATTCCCTGTGCTCTTATTTCAAAATACCATATGTTATATAGACTGTTATGGGAAACTGCAACAAATTTAAGTTTTATTAGCTTTAAATTCACTCAAGAATCTAAACTGTTTTATATCTGTAACAAATCTCTTTTCCCTCTGTGAATAATGTCACTTATTCATTGAGGGCATGTTTTTTTGCTCTAAGGGTTGATTTTTACCTGTTAAGGAATGCTAGTGAAAGAAGTAAAGAGAACTGAATGAAAGGATCAAGAGAACAAGGAATAAAGAAATTTGTACCTGATGGCAGCTGTTTCTGGTGAAATTTTAAGCAGTAAGAAGAAAGCAAGGTGTCAAAAAAGGATACACTGAAATGAAGTGTTTACTTTTAGAGGGGTTAAGTTCAGATCCATTTGTTTCTGTAAACCATTTACGAGAAATCCAGCATTGTGTGTGCATGTGTGCGCACGTTCACACACACACTTTTTACCTATCTTAAGGTTGACGGAGTCTGGTCTCTCAATGGTAGACTGGCATTTGATAAAGGAGATGAAGCCACCTACCAGTCAAGAGGAATGGGAAACAGAATTCCAAAAATATCAGCAATTTCCAGAATTTAAAATGTAAGTATAGGGGCACCTGGGTGGCTCAGTCGGTTACGCATATGCCTTCGGCTCAAGTCATGATCCCGGGGTCCTGGGATTGAGCCCCGTGTCAGGTCCCCTGCTCAGCAGGGCAGTCTGCTTCTCCCTCTCCCCGCTCATGCTCTCTCTCTCTCTCTTGCTCACTCTCTCGAATAAATCTTTCTTTAAAAAGTAAGTATAATAGAAAATCAGGTAAACATCCCACTAGGCCCTTTCAATCTTTTGCTTAAACATTTCAGAATGGTTAGATTCCATTTTGCTCAATATTTGCTTTAGTTATGTTTAGTGAGCTCCCTACTCTAAACCTCCAGTTCCAAAGTGATCCTGAGGTCACTGATGAGGAAGAAGGCAAACCTTTCATTTCAAGCTTCAAAACTGAGAATGCTCTTGCATTCTGTCTGGAAATAAAAATCAGGATGTTTCTTCTTTCTTTTTTGACTTCCCTTTTCACCCAGCTTGAATCATGATATGACACTGGCTCAATTCAAGTTCATTTGGTACATGGAGTACTCACACCGAATGTGGGGTCGCCTTGTGGGCCTTGCATACATCCTACCTGCTGCCTACTTTTGGAGAAAGGGCTGGCTCAGCCGTGGCATGAAAGGACGTGTTCTTGCCCTGTGTGGGTTAGTCTGCTTCCAGGTAAGATTTATTCAAGTTTGGGAAACCAGAGATGCTTCCAGGAGCTTCCTCGTTGGGATTGTTTTTAAGGAAGGAATCTGAGTCTATATAACAGAGTGGGAAAGAGGATGAATTTTAGTGTTACAGGCCTGACCCAACCCTGCCACTTAGTAGGGCAAGTTGTCTACCTTCTGTAGGCCCCTTTCATTACCTGTAAATAGGGATAATAATAGTGCGTACTGGTTAGGTTGTGTGACTTAAATGAGAGAGATCATGCATATAAAGTACTTAGTTTAGTGCCTGGAATTAGTAAGCGCTCAGTAAATACATTGTTGTGTCACAAGAAGTTCTTTCCTCTCATGGCTTTCTTCCTGGGTTCTTGTCTCCTCCCCTTTTCTGACTTGTGTGCTGGATGGGGAATGGGATCCCTGTTTTCTAGGTAAAGAAGCGAATATGAAGACTCCCACAGTTAAGGGGTTTGCTGAGACTGAGAGCCAAGAAAAGGAATATGAGAGAAGGTACAAAGGAGTATTTGGTCACGATTATAGGCCCTCAAAAAGAGTCATAGAGCATCAAAGGAACATCACAGTTTGATCAGGAATAAGCTAATTGGTTAATTAGACTCAGAAGTAGTAAGAATAAGAACCAATTAGAAGGAATTGAAGAGGGAGATGGAGGAGACAAATTAGAGGCAACAGAAACAGATAAAGAGACATTAATAAAAGTCTAATAACAACTAGGGGAGGGTTGGTGAAACAAAGTGAAAGTTTATTTTGGAATGAAAAAATAAAACAAAAAACACCCAAAGACAGACTCCGGGAAGGCAGCAATTTGAAGGTGGCAGATAGGATTATGGGAAGAAGAAAGCAGGGCTGGCAAATCACACAGTATACTCCTTTGTCTCCCAGTGTCCTGTGCAGATGAAATCAAGATAATTAGAACATCCAGGATAATCACTAAGGGGGCAAGATAATGCCCCAAAAGATTTCCTGAGGGGATCTATTAGAAGAGGTGGGAAAATCCCACCTCTCTGGCATGCTTCTATTGACTTGGGAGGGCAGAGTTGAAAGGGCTGTATCTTATCTCATAGAAGTGAAACTCACAGTTGTTTGGTTAATTGAAAAAATTAAAGCAGGGTATCAGAGTAATGCATACCTTGAACTTTTATGCTTAAACTTGTACTTTCATTACTTTTTTTTTTTTTTTAACGAAGAACTAAGGCCGTTTTTTGAGTTCTCTGATTGGAGTTTAACTTCAGATCTCTTGCATCCCCATAAACTATCATTTCATTTCATTTTCCTTAAAGAGGAGTGGGAACTTAGCCATTTGCAAAGGCATCTGCCAGCAAAGCGTTA